TTTCCAAAATAAATTCATTTAAATTATTATAATTATCTAAAAATAATTCTTTTGCCGAACTAAATTCTTTTAATTCATTATAATTATTTTGAAAATGCTATTTATCATATTTCTATGATATATTTAATATTCTTTATAAAACAATCCCACGCAGATAATTATATCACAAACTAATCTATGTAATCAATAATAATAGATATGAATATTAAAATGACAAGTCAATGAGCTAGAGGGATCTTGCCTAGGGGTTTCGTCGAACGAATCGACGTCGACGTGCGAGACTACGGGTCTGCGTGCAAGCGGTAGAGACGGTTGAATGGACTATCGGAGAGGGGAGTGGCAGATCTTGGTGGCGTCGACATCGAAGTTGAGGCAACGACGAACGGCGATGAGGACGGGGCTTTGACGTCGCTGAGGTGGCTGGTCGGCCTAGGGTCTTCATTTGAGAGGATCTGAAATCATAGGACGATGTGCTGTCAATTTGAACAGTAGACCACGGATTTCAGAGGAGAGTTGACAGATTTTGGCGAACTTTATCATAAAGAGGGAGCATTCGAAAGATCTGAAACTATTTTTCCCTTTTTTCCTCCAGATCAAACTTGGTTTTGATCTCGCGAAGAGACACAATCTCGCTTGGTCGTGATTGTCGCTTCTGCAATTATTTCCTTCATGAAACAAGAGCATCAATTAACTCTTGTCAACCGGATCAGATCTGTGGCGGTCCACGAACTAACGCGTCCCCGACATAGGCAAAGATCCCACGTAAGCAGCGGGTGATAAACGTCCTCTGCGTTTGTTTTAAGAGAAAGTTGTAATCTTTATTTTATTGTGTAAAGAGATCTTATAAAAAGATCGACTTTTACTTTACTTTTTGAACTTATTGTAACGAAAGAAGTTGTAATGAGTTTGATAATGAGAAAATCAACTTTCACCGCAAACATGTTGCGGCGTGAAAACCTAGGGGGGGGAGAGAGCCTATATATAGGTTTAGGTTAGGGTTAGGGTCAGGGTTAAAAGGATTAACATAATTAAGAAAATAAAATAGGGAAAATAGGAATAATTAGGGAGAATTCTTATAAATGATTAACAATAACAATAATAACAATAATGATAAGAAAACAAATATTTTTATTTAAAAGTTTTCACTATAACTAATTAATTTATAATTATCAAAATTATTAAATAAATATAAAATTAGTTTTTTAAATCGTAGAAAATTCTAGAAAATAGAGAAAATACAAATATTCTTTTTAAAAATAATAATTAAATATTTTAAAATACCAAAAAAATTATTTTAAATAGTATCGAAATTTTATGGTCCTTACACTCTGCCTCCCCCTCCCAACTCAACCCTTTTATTCTTATTCTCTTGCCCTTGCTCCACTCTACCTCTATTCCCTCTCTTTCCTCACTCCTCTCCTTTCGACTCAAAAATCCCAATCAAACTCTCTAAAACTCCCCTCATTTAGATTTTCTAAATCCTAAACTCACAGAAACAACCACTAGATCTATCAACGACCTAAAACTCATCTCCAAAGGTATCACTGTTACTGCCACAATCAACTATACTCTCTGCCGCTACCTTGCTACCGCTACGGTCAGATTTATGAGGTTATAGACTTGATGGGTTTTGAGAGGGGAAAGAGGACGAGTTGTTGTTAAGGAGTTGTTGTTGGATGAGTGATTTTTGGATCTATAATAGGCATGATGATGATAATGATGATGATGATTATGAGGATTTGAGAGAAAGAGATTTGTGAGTGTTATGGACTTGATGGGTTTTGAGAGAGGAAAAGAGGCAGAGGAATTGCTAGTAGAGGAGTTGATTTAGGTTTTGGTGATGATGGATGATGATGATGATGATAATGGCTGATTGGAAGAGGGATCTATGAGTGTTATGGACTTGGTGGATATTGAGAAAGGAGAAAAGGAGTTACTATTAGATAGATTGATTTTAATTTTGATGATTATGGATGATGATGATGATAATGGGGGTTTGGAGATGGAGAGTGACGAACTTGATTGAATATTATTGTGTTGGAGATGAGAGGCTTCTTGTTGCGGAACGCATGCTGAATGACACTCCTTGCAAGAATTTGTATCATATGTTTGTTTTTTTTTCCTAGTGACTTTTTGGGATTTTGTGGGTCTAATTTTGGGTTTCATGTGTTGATTGTTGATAATTAACTTGTCAAGAAATGTGAAATTCTATTTTTAGAAGCAATTTTCTTAGTTTTTTTTTCCTTTTAGTTTTTTTTCCTTAGGCAATGTAAATGGAGGCTGAATCACAAAAGCCTATCTATTTGGGGCCAGATAATATAGTTGGGGCTATATGAAATTTTGATTTTTGGGGCCTTAAACAATTTTATCTCATATATGTATGTGTGTGTGTGTGTGATGAAATGAGATGGTGAAATGCGATTATTATCGTGAAATGGCCTAATAGCCTATGAAAGCTTATCATGAGGTGGACTAATCGGTTCATCAAATACATGATCTGTACCATACACATTGTTCAAAATATTGTCAAATGCATATGGTCAAATTTTCACATAGTTTGGAACCTTCTAGAATATGAATCAAACTAGCTTAATATGTTGATTTTTCAGACAGTTTAATAACCGTCCCTTTTACACATAGCTAAAGTAATAGTTAGAAATCAAAATAACATAATTGTTTTCTATATATAGATCATGATGAGTGCAAATCATGATGAGTGGTCTGATCATTATTTCCAATAGCCTATTGGGCCATGTCATAACAAGAATTTTATCTCACCATCTCACTTTGATATTTATAACTATTATTTTAGCTATGTGTAAAATGGACAGGTATTAAACTCTCTGAAAAATCAACATATTAAGCTAGTTTGATTCATATTCTAGAAGGCTCCAAACTATGTGAAAATTTGGCCATATACATTTAATGATGTTTTGGCAAGGTATATGGTACAGATCATAAATTTGATGACCCAATTAGTCCACAACATGATAAGATCCTGCACTGTTGCCACATGGCATTATGTGACTTGCTAGACTAAGAAATTATTTATGTCAGAAACTTAATTATGATGGTTAGGATAGATTTGGAAGAGCTTAGGGTCCCTCAATCCTCTTTGATGGCTGATCACGTTGAATAGAATCATGCACAAATACAGGATGTTAGAGGGCCGAAGTTGGGTTCTTCAGTGGTTCCTTTGACGATCAAGTTAGTGATGATCTTAAGCGAGAAAAGTTTATGAAAGAAGTAATTTGTAGAGTGCTTTTTTGTAGAGAAAAACGTACGTTCATGCAGAAGATAATTTTCCTATTTATAGTGCTTCGATACGGGTATTTGGGTAATTTTAGCCGGGTCCATGCAGTCGGCTTAGTCAGTTAACATTTTACACACGTCGGCAATAGGTGATCCAAGTCATCCTTGCATTTAATGCGACAGCAAAAAATGACTAAGGTGTTGACATGGTTCAAAGAGTCATTATAACTTCGACGGAGGAGTAATGATGGCTCCGGCCATGCATTTAATCTGACGGTGACTAGCTGACGTCACTTAGAAAGACGAACCAAATAGGTTTTCTCGTGGTTCAAGATGTGTCGTCGTGTCTGAGTGAAGACATCTTTCGTGTCAGCCCTTCAAGAGAGTCTGAGTAGGGACGCCATTCATCTTGGAGTTTTGAGAGAAAGTCTGAGTGAGGACGCCTTTCGTATTGGATTCCTTGAGAAGGCCCGAGTGACGACGTCTTTCATATTGAATTCCTTGAGAAGTCTCAAGTGACAACGTCTTTCGCCTCAATTCTCAAAGTGTTTTAAGGAGGAGTAGTCGGTATTCGTGAGACCAGGGTAGGGGTGGGTGTAGGCCGGATCGGTTCAGGCCCTTGGCCCGATTCGTCAGGTTCAAGGCCGGGCTGGGCTTGACCTGGGCACGGTCAGGTCAAAGTGGGCCAGACCTACTTCTCTGATCTCGGGTCTGGGACTAGACCCAGCCCGACCTACGA